ACAAATCTTCCGCCAATTCTCTCAGACAATGATATTTACCGCGTGACGATCAGGCAACGAACAGTACTGAAAGTGAAACGACGAAACGTGGAAAAAGCTTGAGCGCATTTTTATAGCAATTTGTTTATTTTTGTCCGAATTTACATCTTTCAGTCTTGGGGCTCTTCAAAGTATGAGCTCTGAGCAGACTGCCATTCTCTAGGTCATTACGGCATACCACAGACGTTCCGCCCTACTCAAAATGCTAATAATGGCAAAAAATGTCCAATCACAATTGTGTAAGATAGAGTTTTTGTGTTCAATCTTGTCCCTCAATTTTTTATTCCTTGCCCTTTTCATTCGAATCTGTTGGTACTAGTTAACAAAATAGTCAATATAGGTCTTTATATGGTATTGAAATATTATCCATCTACGAAACAAAATTAATTCGAATAATTAAAAAAACTCAGCATAAGAGTCCCTATTCTGTTTATGTAGGTCTCACAATACGCACTAAACTTGCAAATAAATATTTTTGAACGTAATATGTACTCTCTATTACGCTCTAATCACCTGAAGGGGATATGTGTGTGGAGTTAGGGGAAGTTGCCCGTGTCCGTAGGAGCGCCGAGCTCCCCAGGCGGGCAAATAGCTCGTGCGGGCGCGAATTGGCGTGCCTGGACTAAGCACAGTTGCGTAATTGCAGTCGTCTAAGCACAGTTGTAGTCGTCTTACTTTGACATTTTGCAAGGCCCGTTGCAAGACTACGGGCTAACTACTCCGCAATTAACGCTGAAGAAGAGGGGTGTTATCAACCTCTCATTTTATCCTTGAATGTTTAATCCTCCAAAATCAAAGAAACTCATATGGGATCAAAAATGATGTAAATGAAATATTTAATTGTATTCCAGGTTTGCAAATTTATTTCACAATATTTTCATCTTGCTGCTCTGGATAAAATTGCCTGAATTATTGCAAAAAATTATTGTAGATAATATTTCTGTTTGTTACAAGTTATAATATGCATCTCTAATGTAAATTAATAGTGGTTGCTAATAAAATGACCTCAGCTCTTTCTAAATAGACCAAAAATAAATAATAAAAAAAACTGAAGAAACTCGTAGTTTAGTATGATCGCCGTAACTTCGGCAATTCTGCCTAGATCGCACCGTGCACCAACTTCATAACATTTGCTGCAGCAACGGAATACTGCGTCTACACCGACCGTCATCGGTCTTTTCACACCATAGTTCGTCAGCGGCGGTTCAGAAAATTGAATTTCAACTTGTATATCCTGATAATATAATACCTGTAGATGCTTTAGCTTCTCGCGTAATCTATAGTGCACGCACTAGGGAAAGTCTATCATTTTGATATATTATAATGCCATTTTCGACTTAGATTTTTCCTTCATTACTGTCGAACGTATTTCTTTTACGTCATTTTTGTCAATTTATTTCTTTCATTTTCATTTATGTCTACAACATATACCAAAGACATGTTATGGTCTGAAAGTTTCCAGATAACTTGAATTCTTAACACAATGTTCTATAAAGTAATTATTGCTCTTCTTAGACCTGCTAAATGCTTTAGTTCAGATACGTGGCGCAAAACTATGTAGGAGTGTATCAGAAAAAGTCATTACTTTCTAAATTTGACGTCTATGAAAGATAATTCAACCCTAAACATATATGACATTGACTTTAGTAGAAGTGCTTTTCGACCGAATAGCAGTCATTTGAATATTTGACAAAAAAACGACTACAATCCAGTCCTGAGGGTAACTCTGACTCTAACTGCATTTAGAAAAGCTCCTGACCGACAAAAAGGATATCGTGAATATATCAGATGGTCATTTCATTGAATGTGAAGTGTCAAGGAAGTCTTGATGTACGAACGTTTAATGTTAAATATATGTACTGAGCCCAATCAAGAATAATTGGTGTCCAGAAAACTGAAAATCTCACATGAAATCATAATACTTCCTCCTTTATTCCTCGTTCTTGTTAACCTCCATTGAGCCTCTACCCCTACTCGTCCCCTAGTGTGCATCACGTTTTGCTCAGACATCGTTATTTCCGTGTACTCATGTTTCTTACCCTCTCGGACGCTTCAATATCAACTCGATTGGACCCGCAATAAAACTCGAAGAGTCCATTATTATCACCTACGCTGCTTTCGGCTTCGTGGAAATCTTGGGGCGCGTCGTTTGCCGAGCAGTCTCTTATTCCGTACATCACCTCTGCAATTTCCTTCGCTTCAGTAGTCGTGACCTACATTGTTCAATTCCTGCGAATTCAGTCATTAATTGAAAACTAAGTTCTTATTTTCTCCTTGGTCTCACGTTAATTAAAAAAACACGAAACGATACGTGATCTGAACCTTGGATAAACAATAACGGAAACTCTGCTCGAATATCTCAATTTAATTTTGATTGAAATATAAACCATCATAGTCAATTCTAAAAGTGGGAAGCGTTTGTACTTCATCTAAAGATGCAGAAGGTCACCACACAAAATCTAACAGCCATCGTTATCTAACCATCTCTTTGATCTGAGATAATTTATTTCTATCACTATATATTGTCACCTAATTTCTCTCTATGATATAATTCCCACGCGTTGTAAAATATGATGCTTCCTTCACAGGTAAACAATTAAATATTGGAGTTTAGATCATCACTTAAATGAACACCGTAATGCCGACTTAGTTAATAAGAATTCTAGGTTCGGGCTCTAGATACGTACATTTGGAATGATCCCAAACGTTTAGGAATATAACAAAAATGAACGATAACTGAGTGCTGAATCAGCACGTACTTTCTATTATAAGAATGATGAGTTCTAAAGAGCTCTAATAAAAGTAATGACAGATGGAACCTAGATTTCCCGAAAAATTACATGCCATCATTTAAAATCCTTTGAAGAACAGATTGTATTAATAAGAAATCTATATGTTCAATATTGTAGTCGTAGGAATAATTTGGAGCCATCTGAGAAAAATTTTGAAAATATCACTAAGGATTCATGTAAAGTACCCGAAAAACCAAATATCAGTTTTAAACTCGCAAACTTGCAGGGCTTCGAGTTCCACCAGATGGATAGGTAAATATCAATTTTGGAAAAACCCTATGAATGGTTTACGCGCTAGTGTTGTCCACAAACGGATGGACGGACTGTCACTAAGACGTTTTAAATAAATCAATTTTAAGGTATCAAAGACTCACAAAATGTGGATTATAACTTCACAAAACATTAGAAGAAGTCTCACTATTTACACGAACAAGAATTATACACATTTCTGGTAACAGTGGCAAAAAAATACAATGTTTTCTCCTTACTACTACATACTTTGAAGGGGAGACAGTAAAAACACTAACGTGTGCAGTTTATTACTATGGTTCGTTACAGCTGTCGCATTATATTTTCACTGCACCGAAAATGGTGCAAGTCTCATTTCCTTGAAAACTAATTTTTCGAAAATTGCCAAAATTCAAACTTTTCCGGCCTCTTCGTACAACTACTATTATGAATATAGAGATTTTTCTTTTATTTACACCTGTTCCTTAAAGATAGATTATGAAACAAAGTCATGAACAATTTTTCGAAAACTAGCGTACTTTTCGCGTTAATTTACGTGAACGTACGGTCGAGAAATCTGGGGGGAGTGCGTCGGCGGTTTATGTCAATCGATAACAAACACGTGCCGGAAACGCGCAAAGAAACACGTGACGGAATGCGAAAGAATGCTTCTTGTAGCCATTTATAGGTTTTTTTGCAAAAACTTCATAAGTCAGTGTTGGTTTGTGTGTTTGATTTCCATGAGTAATCTCATTCCCCATATGTATAAGCATTGTTTGAGGCATATCTATCATATGTCAAACCATTATATAGTATATTTGGAACACAACATAACAATATTTGTGATATATGGGAATTAATGGATCTAAAAGCAAAACAATAACGTTCGGGTGGGGACGAAATTATGAGGAACCAGACTATCATTTAGGTGAGGTTATCATCCCAAGAGTCTCGTCATGCAAGTATTTAGGCATTCATCTAGATAGTAAATTAGGGTGGGAGATGCATATAAATCAGAATGTAAGAAAAACGTGGAAATCTTTGCATTTTGTAATGCGAATACTAAAGAAAAGTTCTGCAAATGCCAA